TTAACCAGACTTACTTCTAGCATAGCCCCACTTGAAATCAAGAGGTGAATTTGGCCTCTCTGATGCTTTGGGTTGTGAAATGTGAAGTCTCTAAATGATAAAACACAGGTATCTGACCCTGAAAACAGTGTAGTATTTTGGAAGCTCTTTCTACTGATCTTTCTACAGTCTTAAAAACTCAAGATAATGGGTTGGTGTATATAAATTTGAAAGAGCGACCTTCCATGGAAAAGGCACCTCTGAATGTTATTGCAGATGGCGAATTAGCTTTGGAGGAGTCACTTACTTTTTACAGTAAGAAAAAAAACTAATGCCTTGCCTGTGTTATTAGAATTTCCTAATATGCAGCCTGACATTTAAGTATGATAGAATTTGCATTTGTATCTATGAAATACTAAACCTGTGTGAACCTGAGATGGTAAATTTTGTGTCACAGTGGCCGTGCACTGAGATCTGTAATCAGTAACTAGTAAGAGTTTGCTTTTTTGGTTTGGGACTTCTTCAATGATTTCTTTCTTCTCTTTTTTCTGAAGTGACATTTGTTCTGTGGGTCTGTACTTGTTCTTCCAGTTTCTGTACTGCTTAAAAGGTCTTGGGGATGTTGTTTTGGTAGACTATTTAATCCTAGGAATACGGAATTGCTGTACTAGCTCTATTTAACCCGGTGTTCTGTCTGTGACAGCCACCAGCAACAGATGCTCAGTGAAGTGTCTCAAAAAAAAGCAACCCAAGATCAGCACCTCCACCTCCTGGAAAATGTTCTGAAGGAGCTTCTTGAGATGAAAATTTGTTTTGCCTGTAATTATCTCCAGTAGACTTTTCTTCCTTAAATAGTTAATTGCCTTTTACCATGGATTGTTGTTCCGTTTGTATTTTGGCATCACATCCATCTGTGCAACCACGTGCCCCAACTTACATTATTATGGCTTCCCTCAGTCTTTGTTTGGAGGATTGACGTGACTTTTGCACAGGTACTGGACTCAAAACCAGTTTAAGAAAAGCTGATGTCATGTCAGCCCTTCTCAGGCTCATGGCAAGAGGTTTCATAGAATCCACATTTTGGGTAGTTCATCTGTGAGTTCTCTGAGAGCTGTTTGGGGTTCTGGGTTGGGAACCTCCCCTGTGCGTTCCAGGCAAAAATTTAACTTGGTTTTAGTATTGACTTCATCTTCTCTGAGCACTTCTAAAAATGTTCACAGACCTACAAACTCTGCCAGACTTTGTTTCCAAGGTGTTTGAAAATAGGTCTATTAGTATTTTTTAATGTCTTTTGTGAGTTGTTTCTTTGGTGGGGCAGGCTTGCTTTTTCACATTTTATACTGTCAGTGTTTGATCATCTCTGTCTTCTGATCTGAACACAGCTTCAGCTTTTTGAAGGATCTTTTGTGGATGATTTCTTTTCCTTGTGTAGCTGTGCTAGCTTTCCTTTACATTTCATGGTTTTTTTTGCCTAGTGTTGTGTTTGCTCTGAGCCCCTTTTTTAACTCTGCTGATAACTCATTGGAAAGGATAACTCCTTTTCCAGCATATGATCACTAAAACTACTGAAGATTTTTATATGCCCTCTGTTTTAGTTGTGTGAGCTCACAGTTCTTTACTTATAGTATATAATCATGATATTTGTCTTGGTAGAATATCCCTCTTGTCTTTTTTTTTATGGTCTTCTCTTCAGTGCAGACAGTTCTAGTAGCTGCCTGTGCCGTTTGCCCTTCTATCATGAATTTTCTGGGCAGTAATTCTGATTTGTCTTTTTGCTTTTATAAGTTTCAGTTGATGTGTATTGTCGTTGTTTTTGGGGGGGTTGTTTCATTTGGGTTTTTGTTTGTTTGGTTGGGGTTTTTTTTGTAAGAAAAATTATAAATGTGTTTTCCACATGATCTTATATTGGGTACACTAATGTATGACTGATGGATCTGCTGTCATTTGTCATTCTAATCTAATAACAGTCACTGAGGGAATGTATTGATGTTTTGCTGTAGTTATTTAGGCAGAAGTTTGTGCACGTCTGTACAGAGACATCATAATATTGTTATGAATCCCTGTTCAGATCCAGTGGTCTCCTAGAAGGATAATGTTTTTGGAGCCTCAGTGCCTCCTGTTGCGTTATTTGTGTAGCAAATACACCTTTTAAATGGTCACCTTCTTCCCTTAGGTTTTTTTATTGAAGGTTTTCCAAAACTGTTGAGGTTTCAAGAGCATCATGACAAAATACTGAAGAAATTTTTGTCCAAGCTGAAGCAGCACTTGGTGAGTATTTCTATCACAATACCAACAGTGCTCATTTCCACCTTTCTGCCTTGTTTCAGCTCAGGTGAACCCAGTGGGTTGAAAATACTCAAAGCTCAGAAAAGAAATGCAAAGCTCTAAGAGGCACAAGTGCTGTTGTTTTCATTATAGACAAAGTTACGGTGCCCCTCAGCAGAGTTGTGATAAAATTGGGTCGTGAGAGTAAGTAAAGAGGGTGCCTGGCTCACCTTGGACTCTTTGTGCAAACTGCTGATGGTAAAACATTTTATCAGGGGTTTTTCAGATGTAGAGCTTTGTGGTTCATCTCTGGACAGAGGTGACTTTATGACCAGCTGGTTTTAATCCCTGTTTAAAAAAATAACCTTTATGAGAGGGGTTAATGGTCCTTTTAAAATTTGCACATACTCGTGAAGCTAAAGTTGGAGTTTTATCTCTTCTAATGCTCTTAAAGAGGGAATAATATGCCCTTTTTTGGCTGTACTTCTTCTAAGAAATCACTAATTTTTCTAATGGGAGAAAAATGCCCTTCCAGTAGTCATCAAGAATTTCCTTGTACAGTACATTGGTACTACCAGAATCCACCTGCAGGTCTTAAAAGATAATATGAGAGATGCTCACTTGCAGCAACATCATCTCAGAGTGATGGCTACTCACAAGCACCACCTTCTCAGGACTATATCATCTTCTGCTTAGTTTGTTTACCTCGCTAGAGAAGGAAAAAAAGACACCTTGGAGCAAACTAGCACTTTGGCAATGATAAATTGCATCTAATGTGTGCTTGCTGTATTACAAAATAGAATTTAGTGTCTTCTTTGATTTGTTTTTTTAACAGTGTGCTGTAAGAGCTGCTCCTAACAGGGAGTTAGGCAGATCTGGTTAGGGAAAAAAACACTTCTGTTGAAAGGTCAAGTCAAAATTAGTCATGCAAGATTATCTTTTCACATTTAAAAAAATTCAAACCCAGTTCTGTAACTAATTTGACTCTGAAACTAAAATTGCAGATTTAGTTTTTACAGTACGTGCAAGATGATGATTATTGTTTAGAAATACCGTGTTATTCTCATTTTCGAGGTTGTCACATTGCAGAAAGAAAATACAGAATAATCCCAAGAAGACAGTAAATGGTAAAAGGTCCTCATAACTTCCTAAAAATTCCAAAATAGTAACACATGATTGAGATGATAGAACTTGTGACTGGCACAGTAATTTTTGTATTATTATTATATACACCTGTTATTACTCCAGCTAATAGTCAGGAGCTTTTTTTTCCTGTCATCTGTCCCTGTCCCACATCTCCCCCCTCTACCTGGGGTCACTTGAAAAAAGAAAGTTTCAGACAAGTGCACAAACTGCTTTTGGCAATTGAGAAAGTTAATGAAATAAAATACTTCCATAGCTCTCTTCTGAGGGAATTCTTGGCCATTTGTTTAGAGGGATGCAGAAAATATTCACTCTCTGTATTTATTGCATTTTTTTCTTTTAGATTTAATTCAGAACTTAGTTCTCTTTTTGTATAAACCAGTTTAGGGGCATTGAATTTAGTAGCAATTTGGTTTTTTTTTACGAGAGGAAGGCATGGACCTTTATATCTTATCTTTCAGTAGGCTGATGGTCATTCTTACAGGTTAGAAAACTGAGGTTGTTTTTGTTCTGTTTGCTTTTTTCAAGACTCTCAACATGAAATTGTCATTATTTCAGTCATGTGAAGGATTGTTTTTCTCATCTCTTATTGTGAATGTGTCGCTAAAATGAACCCATATTAACTTGCTGAAAGACAAAAGTAAAGCCTGCAGATAAAGCAGAGGGATTTGGTCCGTTGCTTATTCAGTGGCTTCTAACTGAAATTTTTGGAAAAGCTGGATCTGGCAAGCCTGGGGTATGATGTTATCCCACAGTTAAAGTTCAGAATTTCTTAACTTTTCATCTTTTTCTCTAACTATGCAAAGAACTTTCCGTGAAACTGCAGAGAAGCTTTAGCCATCTTTGGATGGGTGGCACACCACCTGGATTATCTGTGCTCTAGGACAAATTAGGCCCTTTAATTAAAGAATAAAATCCCTTGTGAGTCTTAAGTCCTGTTTTGAGGCCCTGTGTTTGAATAATTCCATAGTTTTATGCTGCTTTCTGGTAGTTAATGTTTTTTTTGTCACAAAACCTTTTCAGCCTTTGGTGTGAATTGGCAGCCTTGCTGTAGAGAAATAAAAGACTGGATGGACCCAGTGGTTGAACTTGGGTTGCTCCAGAATATGGGCTTCTTTTCTTGAGAGAGGATTTCATCCTCTGCTGCCTCTGTCCCAGGAACAAGATAAAGGTTGTGTTGATACCTCTGCATCTCCCAGAGCGTGTTCTTCAGGTGGTGAAGTTGATGAAGAAAAACTATGAAAGACAGAAATTGCATTTGTTGGATTGAAATTACAGTGTCTCGTGGTTAAATTAATTATTTATGGTGAATATTGGGCACATTGACCTCAGGGGGAAAATACTGTTTCATGGACAGTGCAAGGCGTTACTTGCATTTTTGTAAGTATTTCTAAACTTCTGTGTTCTTTGCAGGACTCCCAGGATATGCCCACCAGCCTTTACACAACCAAGTGGTTTTTCCAGTGTTTTCTTGATCGTGTGAGTATGTTTTCCTTCCTGTTGCTGTGTGGAATTGTGACTTGGGGCAGGCTGTTTTTTCACAGCATCACCTGCTTCTGTCATTGCAGACTCCCTTCACGTTGAGCCTCAGGATATGGGATATCTACATACTTGAAGGAGAGCGGATTCTCACTGCGATGTCTTACACAATTCTGAAGCTACACAGAAGTAAGAGACCCCTCAAACATTTGAAACCTAAACAGAGATTCAGCAGGTTTTGTTCTCATTTGTGTCATTTGACCTTTGTGTGTGGAAATCTCAAGTTTCCCAGTTGCCCTCTGCTTCTTCTGATGGGTCTTTTTCATTCCTTATTGACAAAAGGTTAAAAATCTTTATTAATGTGTGTGTGTGTGGTGGGCTGACCTTGGCTGGACCCAGATTGCCCACCAAGCTACTCCCCTTCCCAGCAGGATGGGGGGAAGGAGAAAAGAAGGGTTGCTGGGGGGAAAATCACCTCCATTTCAGCCAGGCCCAGTACAGTGTGATTGTCAGAGAAAAGTATTTATGACAGCAAGAAAGTTATTTAAACATGGACACGAGGTGAGCTGTATTGCTGATTGAACACTAGGGAATAATGTAGATTTTGGAAATGACTTCCTAGCCCCTACAGGATTTAAATTAATTGGGAAAGCACACAAAGAATCCAGAGTGTGCCACTAACTCTCACCAACAAACAACTCAACAATGAGTAATCACCACTCTGTATCTCCTTATACCATTGTTTATCCAAGAATGTAGTTAAAATCCAGACTTTCTGTAGTCTGCCTGTGTGACCTTCTCTTTCATCTCTTGCCTTTGGGTAAAGTAAAATTTGAGATTTTCAGTAGAAGAGTTGTCTAAAGCACCTATGCTTGGTTCCCTAAAGTGAGGTAGCCTCTTAAATTCCAAAGGGTTGAAAAAGCTTTTGAGGATGCATTTTAAGTTTGAATTAACTTGAACATTCCTCAGGGTGATACCTTTTAGCTCAAGTTCAAGACACTACTGTGGGACTTTGGTTTTCTGAGGGAAGTAATTTAACTCTATAAACTCATGGTCTGCATGCAACTGCAGAGTTCTTGTCATAATTTCCTTGCAAGTTTATCCTTTTTGAACTGTGGTGATGCTCCCTCACTGTCTCACTGGGGTGTGCTCGCTAATTTGCTCATACACTGCTTTGAAAAATGTTAAAGGTTCCTTTTCTCATTATTGTGCTTAAGAAAGCTAAACATTTTGAGGCAAATAATTAGGCTTAGCATTTTGGTTCCTCTTCTTCACTTGCAAATAGACATCTACTTGAATTTTTTTTTTAGTTTTTATTCAGTGCTCTTTTTCTGGGAAGACCTGAGGAAAAGGTCCGAGTGTGGATTTGCTTGCCTAGCAAGTGGCAACTTCCCCCATGATCAAACACCTCGAGTAGCTCAGGGCAACAGAGAGGAGATGAGAGGGCTGGCAGAGAAGGTGGCAGAAGACAGATTCTGATTCGTTTTCCAGTTTCTTGTCTACCCTTAAAAACATTGATGGTGTAGCTACCCAGTCAAAGTGTCACTGTGGAATACATGCCAAGGGCATTTTTATCACCGTGAAAAACCACTTTTTTTTTTATGGTTTCTGGATACAAATTGTACATCCTGAAACTTTTGATGACATACAGATGATTAAAGAAGCTACACAGGTATGCAGTTACAGCCTTGCAAGCCACATGGCCTGACTGCTGTGTAAAAAAAAGGGAAAGAAAAATAACCTGATAACTGTAAAATGACTTTCAAAACATGACCTGAATTTTCAGAGAGCCCTGAAGCAACGGTTGTGAAGTGTGAACTGCCCATCATCATTTCACTGGGAGTTAATTCGGCTGTGAATGAGGATACTGTAAATAGCGACTTCTAAAATGTTTTACTGCTTTTCAGAGCTCCTGATAAGAGAGATGATGTGTGTTGTACAGATCTACAGAGTGTGTGTAGGTTCAGGATGCAGGGCTAGAAAATAAAGACCTGAAGCTGTTGGTCTTGAGAAAACTGAAGGAGGGTGACCTCTTAATTTTGTGAAGATGCTCCTGTTTGGAAAACATTGTCCTAAGTAGAGAATGGTACATAAAAAGCATTTCCATAGTGATCTGCAAGTGAATTTTTAATGCATTTTATAGATCTCTGGTGTAGAAATCAGTTATCTGCATAATTAACAAGTGTTTTTCGTTCTGCTTTGCAAACAAAAGCACCTCATGACAGAAGTACATTTTCCAGTGTTCGTTATCAAGATATCTTAATGTATAATATAATGTTTCCTCCTTATACAGAGCATCTGATGAAATTACAGATGGAAGAGCTTGTAAAATTTCTGCAGGAGACTTTAGCCAAGGATTTCTTCTATGAAGGTGACTTTGTAATAGAGCAGCTCCAAAATTCTATAGCAGAATTGAAACGAGCCAAGCTGGATTTACCAGCAGCAGGTGAGAAACTTTCACGTGTGCACACTTAGATATTTGGAGCTATTTACACATTGTTCATTTTCAAAATGTTCATTCATGCTGTTAAAAGTTGTGCAAATACTTTGTTTTGGTTTGGTTTTTTTTCCCCCAGAAATGCTTCACAGTTTAAAATCAACATTTTTCCTTTCGTGAATTTGCTCTTTTTTGGTGTTTTGTTTACTGGTTTTAAACATCCTGTCTTCTGATAATTTTATTAACTTGAATGTATAAAACCTTTCAGGTAGAAGTTCAAATATCAGGGTTTGAAATCGTTGGAAGCAACAGCATTGTCTGAGAATCCAGACTGTTTAGTAACTTCAGCTCAAATAGTTTTTCCTGTTAGTCAAATCCAGAATTTTAGTTGTGTGCAGGTGATAGACCTGCTGGGTGTTTAATGGAATAATTTTCTTTCTCTTCTCCATCTTTGTGTTTTTGATTGCAGAGCAGAGATGGTTGTTTTGTGGGGCATTAATTATGAAATGTATAGGATCTCTTCCTCCTTTATTAAGATTCTATTCTCTTTTCTATCCCCACCTGCACAATGTTTAATTAGAGTTTTTCTTGTGATTACTCAGTGCTTTTTTTTATCCTTTAATTGTGGAATAATATCTGAGAAATGTATATTTTAAAAAAACTACAAGCCTTGCAGAAATTACCTTAAAGTAACTTTATTTAAAAGTTGCTGTGGTTGGCTTTCAGAATTTAAGAAGTGTCAGAAGAAAGGTTGCCTGTGCAGCATTGTTGTGATCATTTGTTCTTTCATTAATGAACTTATTTTTTCTGTTCCTGTAGACATTATTTATTGCATTCAGTATTGGTCTATGTCAACTGCCCACCACAAATAAATACCTTTTTCATCTGGTTCTTCAGCAGATCTGTTCCTATGGAGTAGGAAACTGTTTACTGTTTCTCATCATCTTGGCTTCTTGTCAGCTTCCCATTTCTCCCTGTTCCTGTGTTTTGCCCTCTTTCTGAATTTCTTTACAACCTCTCCAGCTGACTTTCTTCCACCCACCACAGGCCCAAGTCCAGTTCCTGCTCTTGTGTCTTCATCTGTCGCTTCCCCTTCGTAATCATGGCCTTCCCATCCTACCCTCTCTCCATCCTTTTCCCACAAACTTCAGTCTTGAGAAATGTTGTGTTTCTGAAGTTGTTCTTTCCATCCCTGCTCTTCAGCCAGGAGCTTTACCAGACACCTTTACCAGCTGATGCTTGGCCAGGGTGACTGATGTGAGCAACCTTCATCCTTGGGCATCAGTTCTGCTCCATCACAGGATGCTGATTGTTTTGAGCCGTATTGGTTCTTTGTTTTGGGTAGCTAAAGCAACGTTGGTAACAAAATGTATTTTGTTTGGGTTTTTTCCCCCTCCTACATGAATGTGGGAGATTTAACTTTGAAATAGGAAAAGCAAAGCCACAGTGAATTAGATTTTAGTGCTGGATGAGAAAATGAGCTTTTTCCTTTTTAATTTCAAAGTAGCCTGGGAAAGCCTCTCTGTGTGGCGTGTTTTTGCCAGGGGTAGAAGGGAGCATTCCTTAACCTTCCACAGAGTAAAAATAAAATGCCTTCATCCTAATCCTTGGGAACCTGGCTGATTTGTCTGCTGTTACTGTACTGGGGCGAGGCTGCCTCATTTGTTCTTCATATGAATTTCACAAGCCTTTGGTTTAATTTTTAAAAATTTTTTTCTCTCTACTAATTTTGGTTTTATTAATCACTATCTTCAAGTATTATTTTTTTTACAGGTTCTGAACAATCTCTACACATTCAGCTTTGCTCATAAGTTGTGGCAGAACACCAGGTGTCCACCAAAACCTGTCTGTCACTGCCCTCCTCAGCTGGGCAGGGGAGAGAAAATGCAAGGAATGGCTTCTGGCTGAGATAAGGGCAGGGAGAGAACACTCAGCAGTTCCCATCATGGGCAGAACAGACTTGACTTGGGAAAACTAATTTTATTTATTGCTAATCAAGTCAGAGCATGATAGAAATAGAACCAAATCTTTCAAAAACCCTTCCCCCCCCCCTCCCTTTTACCAGGGTTCACCTTCACTTCATTTTTATTTATCTCCTCCCCTCCAGCACTGCAGGTGGATGGGGGATGTGGGTTGTGGTCAGTTCATCACACGCTGTTTCTGCTGCTTCTTTCTCTGCGAGGTCAGGACTCCTCACACCCTTCCTTTTCTCAGGCATGGGGTGCCTCCCCCAGGCTGCAGTGATCCATGAACTGCTCCAATGTGGCTGCTTCCCAAGGGCTGCAGTTTGTCAGGAACAGGCAGTGTGGATCCCCTGTGAGGTCACAACTCCTGCCACCAAACCTGCTCCAGTATGGGTTCCTCTCTCCATGGATCCACAGGCCCTGCCAGGAGCCTGCTCCAATGCACCCTTCCCATGGGATTTACAGCTTCCTTTGGGCATCCACCTGCTCTGGTGTGGGCCCTCCAGGGGCTGCAGGAATCTCTGCTGTGGCACGTGGAGCACCTGCCTGTCCTCCACCAACCGTGTGTCTGCAGGGCTGTTCCCCTCATGTTCTCACTCCTTTCTCCAGCTGCATTTGCTCTTGGGCAGGTTTTTTTTTTCTCCTGTTCTTAACTCAGTTATCCCAGAGGTGCTGCCACCATCCCTGCTGATCTCAGCCTTGGGCAGGGTCGGGTCAGTCCTGGATCCAGCTGGCATTGGCTTTGCTGGATGTGGGGGAAGCTTCTGGCAGCTCCTCACGGAAACCACCCCTGTAGGCTCCCCCTCTACCAAAACTTTGCCACACAAACCTAATACAAATGTCTGTCTGACTCTGTCTTTACTACCTTAAGTCTTACTATTTTTCTTCTAATTCCATCTAAAATGTATGGAACCATTCTGTGTCAGGCAGCCACAAAAATACCTGTTCATTTAAATATTCACCGTAGCCTGAGAAAATAGTGTTTATTTTTGTTTTCTCAGCTGAAATCAAAGCACTGCTTCCTTTCTTGTACTTTTTTTTTTTTTCCACTGAGCAACAATTACACCTTTAAGAACTAAAGTAAAAATGCATGTTAGGAAAAAGAAGAAGAAAAAAAAAAATCTCCATCTTACAGTTGCATCAGTATCAGTCATCCAGGAATAGCAGTGAGCTAATTAAGCTCAGTGGAATTTTCCATCTGGCATCCTTTGTTAGGCTGTATAGATTTTCCTGCCCTAGTAGGGTAAGCTGCAGTAGGATATTAAAAGAGGTAATAACTTTTGTGTTACTTTAAAGTGGATGTCTGCTTATGTCTGATGTAGCTTTCCCTGGCTTGCTCCCTCCATGACTTCTCCCACTGAATTAAGGAGCTCTGTGTCCCCTTCAGAGCACAGAAGGAAGGGACTTGCTGAACACTTTCTCACTGATAAAACCCCTAAAAGGCTCAGCCAGAAAACAGGGATGTTGAGGGGATCTTGCTAATTTTGTATATCTGCTCCTGCCAATGCTGGGGTCACTCACCTAACTCTGTGTGGCTTCACATCTGCTGCAGGTGCCAGATCTGCTGTAGGATGGACAACGTCTTCCTTAGTTCAAGGATGATGTTTAGAGCATAATGAGGGGAATTTTCTTGGGGTACACCATTGATTTCCAAAATTTCCTGATTTCGAGATTCTTTCCTTGTCTATTATTTAAAACAGCAGCAAAATTCTTTAAGTGCTCACAGGACAGGGATAGAATTTCCAGCTTTGCTATAAGTCGTTCCTGTAGAACTGCATGAATAATGCAGTGCTTAATAAACAATATTTATATATGAATAGATTTTTATAGTGTCTCACTTTAATAAACAGGAGTGCTTGCCAGTAAAAGTTTCCTATTAAAAATACTTTGCTGCAAATAGTTTATTAATCCAGTCCTTTGTAAATAAGACAGCCAGACCCACCCTCAAAGCTTGAAGCCTCTCAGGTCTGTTCTTGAGACGATTTCTCACCTGTGTTTTGATGCAAGGTGTCCTGAAAAGGGAGGGCAGAGAGGTCCTGGGTTGGATTTTTTTTTTTTTTTAATGACTAGAAGTTTAATAGACCTAACAGCAGGCCTTAAATCAAACATAAAGGTCTTGTGCTTAATTTTAGAAGAGTATTGGCAAATTTTGAAATCTGCTCCTCCTGTTGGGATCAATTTAACTACATCTGTGCATGATAACACCAGCTTTAAACTCTGACTCAGCTCTAGTTTTTCCAACCTTTTCTGTAGTCAGGGAAAACTAGCAAAATTTGAATCTTGGATTTGCCAGAAATTTTAAAATGTATATCTGATGTTTATTCTTAAGGTCATATTCTATTAAATTTATTATAAGTATCTTTTCAATTATCTATTTCACATATTCGTTGGTGACAGTGCAGGAGCATATACTGCATTAATGGTATCATTAATAATAATCTATTAAATAATGTCCATTCTCCCCTCTTAATGTACCGTTTGACAGCCAGAACAATAGAAACACATAAGTCAGCTTGACTTTCCTGTTTCTGATGGTGTCTTTCTTTTGGTTGTGTTTTGTTTCAGAGGTATTTTGGATTTTTCACTTGTGCTTGAAGAATACCTGAGTAGCTATTTCAGACAACGCTCTTCGTGTTTTAATCAACTAAACTATTTTTTTCTGTCTTGTTTCTTGTGTGGTACAACTGCTCTACAATATTATGAACTAAAATAATATTTGGAATCATACTAATATAATTAGTGTATATCCTCAGCAGTTTTAGACTTTGGCTTTGCATTTATTAGAAACATTTAGAATTTAAAACTTCCATGATCTTTAAATATATGACCCAGATAGTTATGCTGGTCCAAATTTATTATAATTTCCATTATTTATCTGAATGCAGACGTTTATAAAGTAAGTTTTCCTTGCTGTCAGTACTACAAAAGCAGCACAGCAGCAGAAAGTCAGAGTGTATTTTGTTCTCCCTTCAGGTTGTCCAGCAAGATTTCATTTAGTAACTCCTTTGGCATTGAAGGCATAAAAAGGAGGAGGAGCGAAGGTTG